ATCAGACTCTGACAGCTTGATGAGGTACACTTCGTAGCATCTTTTGTATTTGTTCCTTTGCTATATCCAGGCTTGGCAACTTGTCCTATCTTAGGGTCTACTTAATTAAATTTAACTGACTGAGACTATTTTATTCACAAATGCAAAGAAGGCAAATAATGAGAGGACAAGAGTAAAGAAGAGAAAGAAGGAGAGGAAGGAGAAAAGAAAGAATAGGAAGAGCAAGAAAAGAAAGAACAAATAGAATGAGATGCTACAGCGTATGCACATCTATTTTTTCGATTTGGTCTTAGCACATAAGGAGTACAAACTTATGAACAACACTCCTGATGAGCAATTGATTGCTCTGGCGACTGAGATGAGGTGAAATATATTTAAATGGCACATAACTTCTCTAAGAAAAGATTTCAAGGCGTATTGCAGCATTCCTTACTCCTACTTGTCTAGAAAGGCCATTGACCAACTCACTGAACCGTCGCATTTGAGCGTTTTCAGTGCCAGATCCATCCTCCATTATTTGGCCTGCATCAGCCACTTCGCACCCATCATGACCGATGTCTTTCGAGTTCGTACTCCTTATATGATACCGTATAAACATTTACATATATCAAATGGCAGCGTATTCCACCGACCCCTTGCCGGCCATCTACCAGTACAAGTGCTTAAACTTAATGAAGAAGTAATCAGCTAAAATAAGCCCTCATGCAACTACATGTTAGACACGGTACAACAATGAGTAAAATTTAGCACTGAAGAAATCACGTACCACTTCTTGTGGAACTGTCCAGATATCGTTAACGTGTCTTCTAGTAAAAAAAATATTTGAAAATAGCTCGGACTTCGTGTCGAAGGAAAATTCTTCGGGCAAATTTTTGCAAGAAGATACGTAGAATTTTCCAGATACATTTGTGATTCGTTTGAAAAATTCAATGATTGACGGTGAAACGATTTGCCCTACCACGCAAAATATAATAACAAAATTAACAGTTACAGTGCTATAAATGAAAAAGGGGTGGGGAAGGAAATTCGTGTGGTCATGTTTACCAGTGATGGTTAAGAGGGAGAAGAGACTAACTAGCGAAAAGGGAATGTTCAACGGCATTCTGCGTGAACTAGCCCTCACCGTTGTGACCGAACCGAAGCTGAGTCCAAGGGCGAAGTTCATCTTCATCTTCATCTTCCATCACCGCTTCTCCTTTCGGGTCGCGGAGGCAGACGCGCCAGACAGTGCTTCCAACGTTGCCGATCCTGTGCCAGAGTCTGAGCATCGGCAAAAGACAAATGCAGTCTGGAACAGATTCCCTCCATAAGTTTGCGCCAGGTTAATCTTGGCCGTCCCCTGGGCCTTTTGCCAGTCGGATTTGTAAGGAACAGTTGCTTAGCCTTC